TTTTTCTGTAATGGGCCTTATTCTGGGCCCATCCTGTCTATATTAAGTTCTTTGTAAATACTTGCCCAACTAAGGGCCTCCTTGTAATTATTCAAACATATCTTAATAAAATAGTGYTAGGGTGCTGAGAGAGGGTAKGYTCGAAACTCTCATTCTCAGACCCTCATTGCTGAACTCTCAAGCTCTCCTCTCTTCAGTTTTCTTCAGACATCTATTCCCAACTTGAGGGGGAGTGTTGACAGATTTGTGGACCTTTTTTTTTTATAAGTGAAGTTAGATTTCATTAATTACGAAAAATATAATCATTACAAGCATCCCTTAGAGAGGCACGAGATGCTATCTCTCTATAAACAAAACAGAGAAATTACAAGTGAGCCCAAAAGAAAGATTGTCTATTCACCCCTTGCTTGGCTAGAGTATCAGCTAATCCATTTGCTGATCTCCTCACCCATTGTATTCTCAAATTCATATTCTTGGTGATCCATAAAAACCTTTTTAATTAATCCCTAGCACCATATCACAGATTCTGGATCCATTAACCAACCCACCACCAATTTTGAGTCCCTTTCAATCACCAAATTGATTATGTTCAGCTCATTTGCAATTCTTGCTCATTGTAAGGCTGCAAGAAATTCTGCCCTGAGAGAATCCCCATACCCCAGTGGATCAGAAAACAAGGCTATTAATTTGCCTTCCATGTCTCTCACAATCCTCCCTATACCAGCAGGTCCTGGATTCCCCCCTTCTACTCCCATCAAAATTCAGTTTTACATAGTCCTGAGGTGGGGGAAGCCATACAACATTTGTGGGCCTGTTTTTACTCATGTTTTGTCTTATTGGCCCTCCCTAATTGGGATATAGGGCTTCTTTTGTCTTTATATTTTTAAGTTGTCTCACGTTGGTTTGTGCTGATAAAAAAAAGGTTGTCATATGGTGGTCACATGACCACTTAAGTTAGAATCGCATGGTGGTCACATGACCACTTAAGTTATTGGGGATTTTCTGTAATTTCCTTTTTATTAATTCTAGAATATAAAAGTGAGTGGTGAACCCATAAATGATAAACCCCGCATTCTATTTTTCTCCCCAACTCCCTTCCTTCTCCTTTTCTCTCCTCCCTCCCCCTCTCTTCCTCTACTTTTCAAACCTGTCTACATTAATCTACACAGTTTTTTTACATTGCTTGAATAGACAGCCTTCCATTAAAAAATAAAGACATAAATACCCCTATTCTTTGATTCTTTACAAACTAGAACAAGAATCTCTAGATCAAATACAGAGATAGGCATTTTCCATTTGTGAGCATCCATTACCAATTAATTGATGAATAATGAAACTGAAAGGTGTACCTTGGGGCAAGATGCAGTTCCCCAAGCCATGGCTGAAATAGCCTGCAAAGTAAACAATCATCCGATTAAAACAGAAAGTAGTCACAGAGGATAAACTATATCTTGAAATGATAAATGATCAAAAAGATTCAAAGGATCCCAGACCTGGGCACCACCAGCTTTAAGGATATGAGTGACACCAGCTTTCTTGGCACAATAAAGTACCTCCTGCAAAGAAATAATTATTAATATTTTTTAGCAGAGTATCAGAAACAATGGAAGTTCTATCAGATGATAAATACATATACCTTGCAAATGGTGCCATCATGACTTGGGGGAGTTGCAAGAACAACAGTTTTGCATCCAGCAATCTGTGCAGGCTGGTAAACAGAATAAACCATTTGTCATCCATATCTAGTCACATACTCACATAGACAATAAAAATCAGAATGAACATTGCAAATGCTGAGGAACAAATGGATTTTCATACCACCGAAAGCATCAAAGCTGTTGAAGGTAAAACTGCAGTTCCACCAGGAACATAAAGACCTACAGATGCAATGGACCTAGCTACCCGTTTGCACCTCACACCCTGACCAAATTTGTTTAAGTATCCAGAATGAGATACAGATTAAGACAATCACAAAATAAAAAATAAAATAAAATAAAATGAAATGAGATGAAATTTGAAATTTGCACTTTTAATGAAAGTTACCTTCATGTTCTCAACTTTTTTCTCCACAGATTTTTGAGCAACATGAAAGGCATATATATTCTCATATGCAACATCAAAAGCTTCTCTAACAGACAAATCAATCTGTGGCCCAATAAGGAAACTGTTTTAGGTTTTTGTTGGTATTGACATTAGCAAAACTCAAGGATACAGAGATACAGACAGACATACGGAACAGATCCTGCTAAAATAATGTCATAAATGAAATGGCAAACATCTTACTATCTAAGGTTAAATAAGTTTTGTTACTGCAACAACACATTAGATGTATTTTGTCAGGTCAAACAGGTAGCTTATTTCAGCAGAAATGAAATAATATATACTTCAAACCAATTGCAGCACAAATCCAGGATATTTAACTACTTAATGTCTTTGACTGCCTTGTTAGTAAAGAAAGAAAGGGCTGTTGGGATTTCCTTTTCTTCTTTCTTTTTTTCTTCTTTGGAAAGACTTGTTGATCACTATTTATTTTAAAACAGAAAATTAGTAGAAGAGGGTTTTAGGAATTCGTAAGTTGAATAGAAATATGTTCTGTTTATGTTTCCTAATAGAGAAGCAATTGGGGTTTTGAAGTCCAAAGGTGACAATCAGAGATCTAGATCTATGTTTGAGTAAATGGTTTCCTGCAGAAAGAGCCGTTAATGGAGAATGTGGGAGAAGAGTGGCTTGAAATAGGAGTGGTGGGCATTCCTTTACAGGTTTGGTATTTATACATATTCAGGGAGATTGGAAAAAGATGTTGTAAATTCTTTAACTTGATGATAGAAATAGAACCTGGATAAGGATTGATGTAGCAAGGATTTCAGTAGAGATGAACAACCTGAGCATTATTCCATCTTCTGTCAAAGTGTCGAACTTGCATTTATAGGGGAGATCTATGCTTTGAGAGCCCTCGTTGAGGGGGAGAACTTGATGGCTTTGTGAGTGACTTGGTCCTCGATGAGAAAGGTGCAAGATTTTGGTGATGATAAGGGGAACAGGAAGCTCAATGAGCAGAGATGTTTCCAGAGTCAGAAGAGGAGAAAAAGGTTGATTGGAAGAGGAAGACAATGAGCTAGAGGTATCCAGGCCTCCAGGGGTGTTCACAGTTCCATTAACAGAATAGTTGGTCTTTTTCTAAACCTAACCAGTCCTTTGGTTTTTGAAAACCAAAACCAATCAGTTAATCGATTGACCGGTTCGGTTATTTGGTTTTTCGGTGTTTTTTGAATGTATAATATATATTATCAATAAATATATAATTATATAATATAAATACTAGATGTATATATAATATATCATATTATAAATAGTATATAATATATAATATATTATAAATATATATTTATATATATGAAAAATATATAGAATATATAAATATAAATACCGGTCAATTCAATTAACCATCAGCTTTTCATATTGGTTAGCCGAAACAGAACTGACCAGTTCGGTTAACTAGATTTTTTTGGTTCAGTTTCATCAGTTCGATTTGGTTTTTCGGTTTTTGATGAGCACCCCTAGAGGTATCCAAGGGTAAAAAGATAATTGAAGATTTGAGTGTCATCCGCATGGGAGAATCTAGCATACAAGTGGATGGAGGAAGGAGGTTGGTTAGTGTAGAGGATATAGAAGTGGGGAGCAAGTGCAGCCCACTTCTATACGTAAAGGGAAAACTAGAAAGGATAGGATCAGGATTAAGTCATCTATAGGAACCTAGGAGTAGCCCCAATATGTGATTAAATGAGAGAAAATATACTAAGATGGTTTGGTCACATAAAGACAGGGTTCGAAACTTCGATACATATCAGGCGTATCATACTGGGGGCATCCCGATACACCCCTACAGGGGGGTGTTTTGGGGTTTAACCCAGTTTAGGGGGTAGACAGGCCTTAAACCAACCCCTTTGAACCAGGTTTAAAAAAAAAAAAAAAACTAAAAAAATAGGAGAAATCATCTTCAATACAGGCTGATATGCCCCGACCAGCGTATTGGCCATATTGATATTTTGAACCTTGCATGCAGACAGACATCAACAACACCAATTAGAAGAAGTGATTTGTTACAAGTCAAAGGGGCTAGAAGGGCTAGGAGTATACCAAAAAGGACAATGGTAGGAGTAAGAAATGATTTAAGCACTAATAATTTAACAGTGGATATAGCTTTAAATAGAACAGATTGGAAAAGCAGGATTTATGTAGCCAACCCCATATAGTTGGGATAAGGCATGGATGAGGATTTTTCCCCTCTAATTTTTACTCCAAAATAAGGGCTCCACCCCATCCTTCTTTCTTATTTCTAACCCATCTTTCTCCCCACTGCTTTTATCACTCAAACAGGGGCTCCACCCCATATTTGTTACTTATATTAATTGTTGTTTTGCATGTAAATGCAAATTGTTTTATGTCATTCACCTATTTGTTATTCCAATTCAGTGTTATTCCCATTCCTGTGATGAATGAGTTGTTACCTGTGATAGTACCAAGTTTATTACTTTACTTTGGATTCACAAAATGTTTTATATTATTTACTAATAATCTTGTTACTGTTCACGTTGTTTTATGGTAAGTATGCTGTTTTTCTATGGAATTACTTGGTAATAAAAATAAAAAATAAATTTGGACATATGAAATGTAAACTGTTAAATAATTGTTGGCTTGTAAACCATGGATAAATTATTTGTGATTGTGAATTATTTGATCAATTATTTATAATTGCAAACTATTTATGACTGTAAATTATTTCTGATTTTGATAAAATATTGATAAATTATTCATCATTCATGAATCATGACAATTGTAAGTTTGTAGCTTGCTGCTTGTAATTTGTTTTTTTTTTTTTTGATAAATTTGCTGCCTGTAGTTTGTTATTCTTAGTAAATTAATATTTTTTATTATTAAATTGTTAATTGTGATTGTGGATATCAATTTAGATTTTAGAGTCAAAGACCCAAAGTCCATATTCATTAGACACATGTAACATATTAGAAGTTGATAATTAACTCTTTAAATAATTTATACTCAATTCATTTTCTAATCTACTTTAAATTTTTTATCTGAACCAGATTATTGATAGTTGCACTCATTAAACCTATTTTAAATTTATGATTTTAAGTGCATATTGCTTATTGAATAAACATTAAGCAATTGCATTTTTCTATTCTTTTAATTTAGATTGATTACTACTTTAGATTTTACTTTCTTATAGACCTTCAAGTAGAGTCAATAGTGTAGAGATGGAGGGTAACACTTCTCAAGAAGGCAATAGGAAGGTTCCAGCTTGGAAGTATTGCATTTGCAAGACCCCAAAAGCACTAATTCTGTTACTTGTAATTTCTATGGAAAAATGACAAATGGAGGAATATTTAGGGCAAAAAGGTGTGCATTGTTGGTGGTAGGAGAAACACTAAATTATGTACCAAGTGTCCAAAAGAAGTTAGGGAAGAGATATTGTCGTACATAAAGAAAAAAGGATCCATGAAGGATGATATGGTAATATTGATTAAAAAGATGATATGGTAATGCAAGAAAGGGAGAGAATTCCTGGATTTGATGAATATGAGAATATGATTAATGATGGAGATGATATAGGTGATGAGGTTCAAGTTCTTGGTGGTAATAGGCATGGAAAACCTGCTTCAACATCTACAGGTAGTGGTTCATGTTCTAGCATAGTTTTCAAGGCGCCAAGACGAGGCTAGGCGACAAGGGGGCGCCTTGTCGCCTAGGCGGGCATCTATGTGACACCTAGGCGATGGATTTTTTTAAGTAAAACCATATATCCTAGGGTAGTTCCCTAGGTTCCATAACCATCTTTCCTTAATAATTATTCATAATTTTCATAAGAGAAGTATAAATTTCATGTTTAAGTCTAGAAAATCAACATTTTATGAGAAGAAAAGAACAAAGGAAAGAAAATTCAAAAATTATAGGGGCTGAACCCCTACTTTTATTATAGGAAAGAAGAAAAGAAAAGGTGGAAGAAGAAAATGTGTTGATTAGACAAAATTTTAAGTTCTTCTCTTGCTTATTGGTTCAGGTTTTGAAAATTTTGAGGGTTCAATCAAGGATCAAAATTTCGATATGATAGGCCCCGTATTGGGTGTATTGTAATGTATCTTTGGGGTCCCGATACACTTGTTTACAGGTGTTTTCAGGGACCCATTTTTTTAAATAATATATATTTAAAAATGAAATTGACAACCAAAGAAATAAAAAAATAGGGGGAGTATCGTTATAAGTACCGATACACCTCTACCGATACATAGAGGTGTATTGATACTTTGAACCATGGGTTCAATACAGCAGCTAGCAATGTTTGCATTGATTAAACCCTAACAAAATTAGAAAATAATAAAAAGAAATTAATATATAAACACATAAAATGAATATTCTAGTTTAATAATGTCTATTTTATAATTATAATGTCAAAAAAATTAAAAATATAAAAGTATTTTATAACCCAGTGCACAAAACTGCTTGGCGACTGGGCGAGGCGGGCCTCCAAGGGCGCCTTGTTGCCTAGGCATCGCCTTGACAACTATGTGTTCTAGGCCTTTTGCCTTTAGTGGATCAAGCTCCAAACCACCCATTAAATGGCAAAAGGATACTTAAGATAAATTTTTTACAACACCTAGTCCAGATCAAGTTGTGGAAATGAAAAGAGAACAAAAGAAGATGAAACAAACCACCATTAATGAAACATAAAATAAAGAAGGAAAGGAACAAGTTACTTTTTCTGAAGACACTCCTTTCTTTGCTCCAGTCTCTCTTCAAAGAAGGGTGATATGTTAGAAGAGAGACTACTGCCTCTACCTGTTTCCATGTCACTTCCCTCTGCTTCTTCTTCTCCTTCTACTTCTCCTTCCTATGGTGTTCCTTTAGATCCCAAAACCTTATAGGTCTACTTAAGACAGCTAGATAAGACTGATTTGAAGCCAATTAGTGATTGTTCACAAAAATCAGCTTCTTTCAATCCAGATTCAAGTAATATTTTTCCTTGTGGTTGATTCTTCCCCTTCCATTCCTTCTATGTCTTCTTCATAGTTAACCTTGTGATTTTATTGATTAGAGAAAAGAACGATATCTAATCTAAACTATCCAAACTCAAAATACATGATTATATATTATATTCAATATTTGGTACTTTATATTTCCATTAAGTGAAGAAAGCATGTAGAGTTACTAGCTTGAGGTCCCCTAAAAAGGTTAAGAAATGGTAATGCAACTAACAAATATTATCCTGAAATGCAAAACTTACAATTTATAAGTTCAAAAGAAGAAATCTTTTGCAATTGTATAACAGTATGAAAATAGCTGGCTAATATGTAAAGCATACTCCACTCAAAATTCAAACTACAAAAGGTAGTGTACCTCTGGATCTGGAAGATCAGCAACAAATTCAACTATTTTATCCAGCACAACTTTGTCAAACATTTTAGTATAACTATCCACCAGAGAACAAACAATTTTAGTACCTACCTCCCACATATCATTGCATGATAAAAAAAAAAAAAAAGCAATTCAAGGTTTAAACAATAATATGGAAAAACAATTTACAAGAAAGAAGAAGCACCAACTCTATCACTGCACCATCACCCCTACTACGTACATCATCAACAATTGGCTGCACCTGATACAAGACAATGGCATCACCCATTGACATCAGATTGTAGAAACTCAAGTCTACCACTCCTCATGAAAGAGTAAATTATTGATTTTTGAAGCTCAAAGAACATATACTATACAACTACCAGAAGAAGAAAGAAGTTTACCACTCTAAATATGGAAGAAAAATCAATACGAGGACGAGCTTTGAGGCTATCAACCTCAGTTTGACTTAGCTCTGATAATTTGTAAGACTTCATTGAGCACCTAATGCTGTTATTCTTTGTTCCTGTATCAATTGCCATGTTAAGACACACACACATAGTAAGAGAGAAGAAAAATTAGAAACAAACAGAGAATGGCTAGGTAGGATATGCAGTCAAAACAAACATCCAATTGAAAACTCTTTCCTATCTAAAGCAAGTATTGGAAATAATACTCCTTTTTTGTTGTTTTTGTCCAAAGTAAACTATTCTCTTTACTTTTATCTGATTTTGTATTTTCACCAAAAGAAACAACAGTTCAATGTGGCAGATTTGTCATTGACCACAATTCTATCTCAAAAGAAAATTTTAAGAGAAATATTATTTGTAAATATTAATGTGTTTTAAGGGTATTTTGGTAATTGCAAAATTAATGCATATGGCATCACTCCCAAGATCCAAGACAGAATCTTCAATCAAAGTTTCTATTCTCTCCTCTTCTTCTCACTCTTTTTTTATCAGCAACACAGAAAAAATTTCATTAATTATGAGAGAAACATGATTATAACAAGAAGTTGTGAAAAGAACCAGCTATAGAAGCTGTCCCAAGCTATTGGCAGTCCTCCTCACCCATTTCACTCAGATTAACATGTCCTGTGACAGCCATTTGAATTTTCCGAATTCATTCCTCATGTGCCATGCCACCCCCTCCCCTTTAACCAGACACTTAACCACAGTTTTAGAATCTCTTTCAAATTCAATAATCAGCGTACTAATACTCAGCTCTTTTTCCTTCTCAACCCCAAAAAACTGCAGCCAAAAACTCTGATCTTGCCACATCGCCCTGCTCCACAGGGCCAGAGTATAAAGCATTTGTGTCCCCCTCTTCATCCCTAATGACTCCTCCAATATCTGAGGGGCCTGGGTTAGCCAAACAGCTCCCATCAAAATTCAGTTTCTTCCAACCATTTATTGGAGGAGACCAAACCTCAACAGATCTTTGTCTTGTAGTTGAGGATGCAGCAATGATACCCCAAGCTCTGAAGAAATCTTCAACCTTGAAATCAAAAACAGCTTCAAACTTTTTGCCCAATGAGCTACTCTCAATGTTATAGTTTCAACCAAGGCTTCCTTGCTTCGTTCCTTCTCTTCAAATATTCTAACATTTCTTTCCTCCCACACTGTCCAAATTAGTGCTGCTCTAGTGATCTCCACAAGGTCCTACCCCTTTTTTTGTACAGCTAATGCTAGTAGGGCCAAACAAACCCTCCAGCCAATCCCAAAGAAAGAGAGAAGTAAACCAATCCCAAAGAAAGTTAATAAACAGGCAAGAGAAAAGAAGATGAATTGCAGTCTCACCATTCAATTTGCAAAGAAAACACCAGTTGGGGGACAAACACCAATTTGGTCTCTTCCTTTAATGTAGATCATAGGTATTAATGCTTCCATGAAACACTTCCCAACAGAAGGCGCTAATTTTAGGGGGAATGGGAGAACACCAGATTCCCATGACTGGGAAAAAAATAGGAAGAAGAGATGGCAATCAGAGAACGAAAGAAGGGCTTGCAAGAGAACTCCCCATCAGAATTAGGACCTCATACTCTAGAATTCGAGCCGCCTTCACACAAGAAAACTGAATTCAACAAGCTCAAAAGATCAGTTATCATAGAAAGTTCAGATTCTCTAAGGTTTCCAATGAAGCCAAAATTCCAATTCAATCCTGATATGATGTAAGAATCTGAGCCACCTTCTCTTCTCACTCAGGGGAACAGAGAGAAAAAGAGAGAGATCCTCCTTCCTCTTCTTAATACAAGACATCTTTCATTAAAAAAAAAACAAAAAAAAATAAAGATGAGACCGCCTTCCTCTTCTTCCTCCTCACCCCCTCCTCTTAAGGAGACATACGCCTCCTTGTATTCAGGAGGCTTACGCCTCTTACCTTCTGAACCATGTCACACACCTCTAGGCAGTGAAACACCTCGCATCACACCCCCACGTTTTAAAACATTGCATATATGCTAAATAGATGCTTACCAGAGATGACAAAGAGGATGGAGTATCAAAATGGAGGAGATGGTGGAGTCCTATTTGCAATTCATTGATGATATCATCATTTTTTGTCAAGACTCAGGATCAGGAGATAGTTGTGTGTGAAACTTGAAATTACTAGTAAAATGTTATGAGAAAAAAAAATCGAGTTTAAAAGTGAATTGGGGCAAGAGCTGTTTGGTGGGAATGAATTTCAAAGGGGAAGTAATTAGGAGGTGTCCCAAAACCACTACCTTCTAGAATCTGAAGCTTGATAGAGTTACCAAGAAACTGATTACATGGAAAAAGAATCATATTTATTTTGGGGGCAGAATAAACTTATGAGAGATTTTCTGTGGGAGCCTAGGGATTCCAAGAAGGATCACTTGGTCAATTGGAAAATGCTATGTAGGAGTCTGAAGGATGGGGCTATTGGACCTCTTAGTTTAGGGAGGACATCTCCCAGAAATTCTCTTTCAAGTAAATGGATATGGAGGCTTCCTTAAGGATTCAGGAAAAATTATGGGATACAGTCCTTAGAAGTATCCATGGTATGAATCCAAATGGCTGAAATGCAAGTTTGCAGGCTAGAGCATCTTTGTCTTCTCCTTGGAAATCCATTATACCTCTTCTACCCACTTCCCTACAGTATATCAGGTATGAAATCCTCTTAGGTAGGAGAACCATATTCTAGTTAGATCTCTGGTGAGGGGATCTGCCCCTTAAAAATAAATTTCCCTCTTTATTATGCCTCTGGCAGCCTAACTGTTTTGTTTCAGATTGTCTCTTTCTCTTCACATTGGTTGGCTTGGGATTTGAGTTTGAGAAGGGGACATAGGGACATAGGGACTTTTGAAACGCTTGAAGCTATGGCTTTAATTGAATGTTCATTGACCCCTCAAATACTCAAGAATTTGGACTCTTAACTCTTCGGGTATCTCTTCTCCTATTCTTTTTTTTTTCTAGCCTATCCTTTGACCCTCATAGCATAGTTTGGTTTCTCCTACTAAAGCCATTTGAACCAATACACCTAAGATTAAAGCCTTCTTTTGGGAAGTTTTTCATAACAAAATTAATTCCCATGAGACTTTACAAAGGAAAATGGCTCTTATAACCCCATGCATGCCTCTATTGCAAAGCTACTGGTGAAAGCTCTTTCCACTTGCTAATCTCCTGTACATACATACTTCTATTTAGGAGCACTTTTCTTGTTGTTTGGTTGCAGTGGAGGTAGTATCCTCCAAAAGATTTGAGAAATCTGTTTGAGGCTTCTTTCTTCTCCACTTAAACTGAGAGGCTAAAACTTGTGGAGATGTACACAAGTTGAAGTTCTATCATCTATGTTGTCTATAATAAAGGAATGCTAGACTCTTGAATGATAAGGCAAGGGATGTTGGGTGTATAATTGATAACATTTCTATCAAGGTGGCACATTGGGTAGAGCTGAAAATCAGTCGCGATTCAACCTTGGTTAGATCACCATTAAAAGCCAAGTCAAGCCCCCCAAGATCCCACAACTAAAGGTGAACTTTGATAGATACATTCTAGGCAATCCAGGTCTGTCAGGAGTAGGAGGGGAATCAGAAATTGGGAAGGAAATATCAAAGTACCATACTCTGGACATTGGTGATAGGGACAGTCAGGGAAGATCTAAAGGCCATCTTAAGTCTGAACAGGTCTAAGAAAATCAAAGAGAGTGAACTATACCTATCAAAACATAAATAAATAAATAAAAGCAAAGAGCTTGAACTGCAATAATTTAATTATTGAAAGGGACACAAAGGTGGTAATAAGTTGGTTGGAGGAAATGGAGAGGGTATGCAGAAGCAGACATATGATTAGGGAGGCCAGAGAGATAATGAAGGATTTAGTGCTTCTATTAAGTGGGTGCTTGTTTTGCCAACAGCCTAGCAGATGGACTGGCAAAGGGATGACAACAGGTCAAATGCTTCGGGCATCATACAATAAGCGGGAGAAGTGTTATGTAGCAGGGCTTATCTAGTGATAGTTAGCTGAGGATAATCAATTAATAAAACTATTGCAGTTACTAATCAAAAAATAAAATAAAATCTGTACAGTAATCAACAAAAAAGATACCATTTCAAATTTTCACATATTTACAATTTTGAAAATTAGCCTCTAGGTCATCTCTAATGTTCTGAATTCCTCCCATTATCTAACTAGCCATGACAAAACTGTTAGTTTCATACATTTTTATTAGTATAACCCATAAACACAGAAAGAAACTAGTAAAGCTATACCTGCTGGCAAAGGTAGACCCCAAAATTTTAAATTTTTAGAAGCTCCAATGGTTCGAATATGCCCAGTTGTGTATGCACCAAAACAGCTGCTCTTAAACAACCATGCTTGAGTATCCATTCACTGCCATCAATAAAATGAATGAGAAAGAAAACAACCCAAATAAATAAATTCGTCAAACCATGAAAAGAAAAATATACCCTGATAAATCCAGATTATTTGTAAAGCATCAAAACCTAAGATTAATTACAAAAACAACAACAGTGAGAGATTTACATAAATTAATGCCATTGTAGACTTTCTTAATCCAATTAACCATCTAATGGCAGTTTGAATTGATCTATTGAAATAATAACCCAAAACCCTTTTAATAACAGAAATGTTTGGAGCCATTTATAGCATTCTAGAATTTAGATTTTAGATTCTGGCAACGTTTTCTAGATTAGATCCTAGAAACTGGATTCTAGAATTTAGAATTTCATTTGAGTAACTAATTCAGAATTTTGATTTTGGAATCCAGAATTCCAGAATCTCATTGAGCAAATATTTACTTTTCCCAATTCTAGAACTAAACTTAAGTGTGCAATAGGAAACTATATACATATAAATGAAATGTCCCAAATGGAAAGGATTTATTTCTTCAAGCACATAACTTGAATATCTTCCACTAAAAATATATTTTCTTCTCAAATCTCCCTGTCAACTTTTGTATCAAGTCAAGATTCGAGCATGGATACCTGAGCTATAGAATTGCTCAGTGTGGGAACAGTTATGGCTAGAAAATGAAACAAACACAAAGTGACTAATGCTCCATGGAGAATTTAAACTAGAGAATTTCTCAGTGGCACTGGTTATAACTAGAGAACTTGGGTTTGCTAGACAACTTGGGAAAAGTGATGGCTAGAGAATTTAAATACAAAGCAAATAGTTGAACATTTTCCTCTCATGGAACAGTTATGCCCAACTGTAACTGATGCTCCATGGAGAACCTAGATATATAAAGGTACTGGTACAGAGTCTAGAGACAAGGGGAAGAGGGATGAGATTCATGTTTGTCAATGCTGGTAATGTTACCCCAGTCTTCCTTAGTTCATGTTAAAGCAAGCTCCAGGTACTTCTTTTTGGAACTAGACAGTGAGAGTGCGAAGGAAAGATCAAACTTCCAGCATTTAGTAGGAAGCTTCGACTGGAAGGTTTTTGAGGTTGAAGAAGTTCGATCTTGGTCCTCCAAAGGGTGGAACTGCTCAAGGGGTCGATGTGAGATGTCTCGATATGGAGAGATGGTTGTTCTTCCTACCTTCTAAGGAAGAAGCTCAAAGAGTTCTAAACACTAGATCGAGATGTTTCAATGGAGCTTTTTTTCACCTTGAACCTTGGTCAGAGTTGTTTGGGGTTTGGCAAAAAGAGGACGATACCCAAGGTCATTTATGGGTTAGTCTTTGGATTCCCTTTACATCAATGGAGTAACGAGGTTGGCTGGAAAATCAGAGACCTCTGTGGTGGGATTTTGGAGGTGGATGATTCAAAGGTGTATAGGGAGTCATTTGAATGGATGAGACTGAAGGTTCGCTGGATGGTTGTCCCTCCCCACATGGTCAATATAGTTGCGGACCCCTTTCCACTTTATTCCCCTCAATTCCTCATTCCACCAAGTTTTTACTTTGTTCACAAAGTCCAGGTGGGTGAGCCACATATTCTCGAACCTAAACAATCTGGGTTCACTGATAAAATCTTCCAAACCTATTCTTATGGGACAGTGATCTGAGGTTACCCTAGGCAGAGCTCAGAACAATAGGTTTTCCCAATAATTCTGCCAATCTAAGTTGAAGATAAATCTATCCAACTTTGACCAAAAAGGGGTTTCTTGTAGGTTAGAGCAAGTGAATTTGGCTTATAAAAGTGGAATTTCCTTCAACTCACAATCCACAATAAAGCTATTAAGCTTCCTCATGCTATTCGTGATGGATTGTTAGGAATTGCTAGTTTCCTCAAAAAACCATGTAACATTTAAGCCCCCTCCCAAACACCATGGGCCTTCCCACAAACCTTGAATTTCATTAAACTCATCCCACATGCCATTCCTTTCCCTATAGTTATTGGGACCACAAATATTGGTTAACGCCCAAGTGAAGCCATCTGCTACATTCTTGAATTTAATGGGACACTGAGCACCTACCTATCAGCTCCTCCACTGCTTCTACTACATCCTCTTTCCATAGTGTAACAATCCCTCCTGAAGCTCCCCAAGATGGGGCTGAACTCCAACTAACTCCTCTAGACCTCCATATACTTCTCACCCACCTTTCATCCAGTTCTGACAATTTTGTTTCTTGCAAAAGTACAATGTCAGGCTTTTCTCTCTTCAGTAGGTCCTTAATCACCCTCCTTTTCCTTGCACTTCCCAATCCTCTCACATTCCAACTAACTATTCTCATAGGCACAGATCTTAAAAAATCCCTCAACTAGTGACAGCTCCTTACTTCACACCCTTCCTCCTATCTCCCCTACCACTAAACTCTAAATCCCCTTCAATATCACAAATTAATCTTTCCACCTCAGATCTCTTTTTCTTCTTTTCACTCTCTTGTTTTCCTCACCCTTCCCATTATTTGTTTTCACCTCTCCTTCTTTGCCAGCCCTTACACCCATCTAACCCCTCTCATTAGTGGGACCGATCCTCCTTACTTCACACCCTTCATCCTATCTCCCCTACCACTAAACTCTAAATCCCCTTCAATATCACAAATTTATCTTTCCACCTCATATCTTATTTTTTCTTTTCACTCTCTTGTTTTCCTCACTCTTCTCATTATTTGTTTTCACCTCTCCTTCTCTACCAGCCCTTAAAGCCATCTAGCCCCTCTCAATAAGTGGGACCCACATTCAAAGTGTAAGGTCATCCTGTATCAAGGTCAAACCCCCCCTCATCATCACCCTTCACCATCTCACTGTACCCTTCCACATAACCTTCCTTTTGACTGGGTTCCTTGAACTCTACAAAGATCAGACCCCAAATTTTATCTACCCCCCCCCCTTCACCTAGCTGCTGCAACCTTCCCGAACTCCTTCCTTTGTTTTACCACCTAGATGGGATGTCGATACACCTATTTCAGGCAAAAAACACCTATTAGTAACCAAAACCAAATTGACATTGATACCGGAATGGGGAGGGAGAGCACAAGGACCACTTGGGCTAAATTGTTGGCCAACTACAAACAATTTTGGTGTCGGTCCCCTACAAGGTGATTCCTGTGAAGTGGACATGGTGGTGCAAACACCACCATCTTGCCTACACTCTTGAAGACCCAAACCCTGTTTTACCATTCCTGGAACAACCTTATCCGTGCTCAAGAGAGAGGTCCGTTCTTTTGCATTTAAATCCTGTAAGTCCTTTGTTCTGCAATGTTCGTATCACCGTTACTTCAAACAAATTTTCCTTTGCTTGCAAATCCATGCTACCCAAACTCAAGGTTTCATCTGAGTCATATTCGTTGCTACTCTCTACTTGTACGGCCCAATCTCCGTTTTCCTACTTTTCCATGTTGTTGCACTTAATATACCTTGGATTTTGTCTCTAAGGGGTCACGTGATTCACCATTTTTGTTGGGACCCACTAAAGAGAGCTGCTAGGTTTCACATTGAGTTCCACAATTCAAAGCCATGAGTCGAAGCTCGAGAAAGAAGATGATAGACTATTAGAGGCGTCTATCAATTTCTTCCCCTTGGGTCACGTGAGACTAAGTTCTCATGTGACTTTAAGAAAAAGGCCTTAAGAGGCTTAGTCGTGGGCTCAGTGTTGGGCCCACCTCTCCTCTAATCCTCGGCCTAAGCGAGAAAGAAAGTCCCAAAGCCTTGGTTCATCTACACCTACCATCCGAACCCGTGTGGCTCCCTAATCCACCATCTCTATTAATTCCCATTTCAACGACCTTGTTTCATATCTCAGGGCAAGGAATAACAACTGCCTCTTGATTACTCCCCTCATTAGTATTTACCCCTAATGTGGCATTATTCCTAGCCACCACCTGTGCATAGGTTTTTCTACACTTAAGGGAGGTTTCTTGTATTTTAAGCCTTTGACCTTCCATCTTCCCCACATCTTTCTGGCCCCCCAGCAAATGTTGGCCCATTTTGGTATAAGTTCCATTCAAATTTGAATCTTTCAATCTCCTTATTCCACATACAACTTCTTCAACCTTTTCCCCTCCCTCCATTCTAGCCTCTTTCCACAAGCTTGCTTCTATGGAGGAGGCCAGCCAAACTGATAAAAGGCATTTTCCGCCCTTATTTGCACCTTCCTTGGGATATCTTCAAGCTTCACTCCACTTAGAAGGATGGCCGCAAAGTGGACATCTCTCAAATAAGCACCATCTAGTCGCCCTCCACACATCAATGCAATGGACTCTGCTACTTCTTGCTTCCAAAGGTGAAAAGGCAGCCCTATTATGTGCACCAGTACTCCATCTGCAACAAAGTAATCCTTAGTATTCGAGAGAGGATTCCATCTGAAGATTGTAAAAGCTCCTAATTCAGTTTGAAAATTAACAGTCAAAAGGTCTACTTTGTTCTCTTGAAAATCCACTAAGGTTTTGCATTTGCCAAAGGGGGTTATAATGAACTCATTTTTTAATCTTAGATTCGAGGTCAAGAGATCTGCAAACTTTCCTCTAGTTCATAACTTGTATCCCTGCCTGAATTATAAACTTACTCTCCCGTTCTTCCTTCCTCGAGTAATCCAACAGTCTACATTGTCCGTTGGCTTTCACTATAACCACAGGCTCCTTTTCCAAGTTTCTAATCGAACTAACATTCTGATTTGCCTCTTCCTCCCTTATTGGACTCTCCTTCGTAGTTGTTCCTCCACTACACAAAAACTCATCAAATAACCTGCTAACATCCTTCCATCCTTCACTCTGCCTTCCTATCGGGAAGCAAACCATTTGTTTCTTTCCTTTACCAAAGAACTCAACCAAAGTTAGATAACATCCCTTTGTATTCTGCCTACTTTCGACTAAATAAGTCTTACCTTCCTTAGTTCCAACCTCATACCTATTGCTTTGCTTGCCTTTTAATCCTGCTTCTTCCACAAAATTCCTAAGCCATTACACTATTCCTACCCCAGTCACCAAAACCATTGCCCTCCTCCCTTCCTTTATCTTTAAGCTCAGCTTGTCTCAAACTCTAACTTCCTCAAACCAGAAATCCTTAGCTTCAACCTTCAAGATTCTTCTCCACCGCCTTACCTTCACGAGACTACCCTCCAACATTTAAGATGGTTTTTGCAACTACCACATTAGCAAGGAAACCACCAATCACATACCTCCAAAAATTATGAATTTCTTCTTTATATCCATGTTCTTTGGTCCAAAAGACCTCAAAATGGGGTGTACAAATACGTCATTGGGTAGTGTGAATTTGGTATGAAAGCAATAGGGTAGTGATCACTACCAATAGTTGGGAAATGTTGGACCCGGGCTGTAGAGAAGAAATTCAACCATTCCCTTGAAGCTAGTGCTCTATCATTGTGCTCTCTGAAGAGAAAATTTGGTTGGCATTAGACCAAGTAAGCATAGGTCCTTTAAAGCCAATATCTATAAGCTTGCAGTCATTACTTAGTGAATTAATACTAGCAAGTTGGATTACAGATCGACTGCCTTCTTTCACACGAGAATGACAAACAACATTCAGGTCATCCATAAGTAACCATGGGAATTGATGAGAACAACTGAGATGGTGAATTGAATCCCAAACCGCCTGCCTATAAGATGCAATTGGATGGCCATAGACACAACAGACAGCCCACAAATAATGAGGACGGCTTAAAACATTTGCCCACACAATATGAGAAGAAGAATACAAAATATTCAAATTGGCATTTTCACTCCCGCCTAACCACAACCCCCTAGATCTAGATCCCAATAGCAAGCACAATATGAAAATGGAAATAATTAAAAACTAATGATAGCTTTTCAGATCTTTCTTCACTGCATCTCATCCCCATTATGAAAATAACAACAAGTTGTTCATCTCAGGGGAGTTCAGATAGAAGTCAAATTGCCTAGGGACTCCCCCCACCTTGGTCTTTCCAAGATAGAAGCTTCATGATTAAGGTGGCAACAATTTTGGGCTTGCCACCTTAGCCCCAGATGACACAGTAATAGAGGTATTATGCAACCAGGCCTGCTTTTTAAGGTTGAGGCCCATATGAATCTCCACAGTTTTAGAATGGGAATTGGGCCTTAATGATTCATCAATCGCAACCTCAGGCTTATGTTTCAAACGATGGGCTTGGGCTTGGGCTTGGGCTTGGGTTGAAGACACAATCAATCTTGGCTGTTGTGAGGATTGTTTATTTTTTGTTATTTTACAGTTGTTAGTAGCATGCCGTCAGCCTAAGATGCTGTCAACCAGTGTCTTTTATTTTCTTCTTACTTGTTTGTTAGTAGAGAGTGTAGCCAGGGGCATAATTGTAATTTTCTCATTCTTTATATTAAGTTAATATAAAAGATAGGTTGGGGTGCCACCAGCTATTGTTTTTTGTTTTCCCAATCAAATATCTCTCTCTCCCTTCTCTTCTCTTCTCCTATCCTCTCTCTTCTCTTCTCTCCCGTCTCTCTCTATCCAAAAAAGATTGGTCAAAAGAGGATGTTGATGCCATACCAATAGAAGAAGTACCTCCAGAATAAAATTGATTTCTTATCTCCATGGGTTCATCCTCAACAATGATTTCTCTTCTAGACACCTCCTAACTTATAGGGATTGACTTCTTATTAGTGCAAACTCCATCTGTTTCTCCCACCTTCATCGGCCAGTCAATATTCATCTTCTCTCCAATTTCTATTGTTTGACAGATCACGACTCCTTGTGAATTTGGTGAGGAAGATATCATGCCATTCATGCCACCATGATTTGAGGTAGAAGGCTCAATTACTTTTGAGATTTGCATGTTGTGCGCATTGTTTCCATCTTTGTCACCTTCAATTTCGGGGTTTGATAGTTGTACATCGCCTTTCGTTTCTGGGTTCTCTACACCGGTTTCCCCTACCAATGAGTCCAATAACTTCTGGTTCAGATCCTTTGTACTCCAAGAATGGGCTTGAACAGCATATATAGATTTGGTTGAACCACCTTTCACCGAAGAACTTGACTCGCAATCGATAGAATCTGAGTAATGAGTTTCCAAGTAACTTCATAGTTTCTGTATTTCGTCCTCATCTTCAGATTCTAAGATCTTCTCCTTAATGTCATTCTTTAGAGAACAAGAATCATACACATGGCCTAACCTGCCACAAAGATAACAAAAACAAGCCAAACGCTACATATTGAACTGTTACAATAATCTCTTCTACATTAAGAAGTTTTATATTTAACTTTACGCACCAAAGGATTATAAACATAAAAGGATACTTTCATTCGAATGAACTTTTTCCACCACTTAGCTTCTTTCTTAATGAACTTTTTCCTTAATGATGGTTCATAAGGCTTTCTAATCCTTGAGCCCAAGTCAACATCGACATTCTTCATTAAGTATCTGATTGGAAAACCTAGGAAATGAACCCATAGGTTTACCCTGTTGAGAAGGTATGAACGTGGTTGTTTATCAAGTTTGGCATTTTCCATGACTACATAACCATCACTGAAAGACCAAGGACCATTGCTAAACACTCTAACTCAAACCTCTTTGCTTGGGAATCTTACTCAATAAGTATCTTCATAAAAATCTTTTTTTTTTTGTTTTCTCCTGTAGTTTGCAACTCTGAGAGGATCCTAAAAATCAAGAAACAATCGTATTCTTGAGAGTCCATAGTGTCTCCCTTTGCATGACTGCATGTACAACTCCCGATTGTACAGTTCATCTAAACGATTGGTAATATATCTCTGGCCATAGCCCATAGCAACATTTTGATGATCATGGGAGGAATCGGCGAATAAAAGGTGAGGGGGGAGAAGAGACAAGGGAGAGGGAGGTGGAAACTTGCGGAAATGAGAGAGAGAGAGTTGAAGTTCGAATTTCACACTCAGACATTTTAAGAAATTAAATTTTTTCACTTCTTAAAAATGAGCCAAAAACATTCATCAAAAAAAAAGAGCCAAAAACTTAAGATTCTATTCTAGATAGAATCTAATTTGTAGAATTACCACAAACAACCAAATAGCATTCTCATCTAAAGAATCACCAGAATCGCTAGAACCAATTCTCTAGATGGATTAATGACTCAGAAATACATGACAACAAGGAAATGAGGCCCTATTTTTGTCATAGACACAGAAGTAAAAGAAGGGTCAGAACCCCTATCTTGTCTTAGAAAGAAGAAAACATGAAAGAAAAACCCCAAAAATGATGGAGAAGAAGGGGCAGAGCCCCTGTTTTCTGTTCTAATCTACCCCTACTTTCAGTTCCAAAAGAAGAGAAAGGGTGGAGCTCTTGTTTTTTCTTTCAAGAAGAAGAACAATAACAGCATACCTTCTTCAAAAGCATAGAACTTGTATCACACGAACCCTGACGAGGATATCGAACTCACTTCTTGTTCAACGTCTTCGAATATCTCTATCAAAACCCTAAAAAATAAGAAACTAATCAAAAAATTTTAGGGTAAAAGACTTAAACCTTTCTCCAGATTTCTCTTAAATATTGAAACCTCCCCTCTAATGGAGAGAGTTAAAACATCTAATATACCCCTATAAAAAACCCCTTCCCCTTCTAGTTGTCCACCCCACTGAAACTTTTTTTTCTAGGCTTTTTTTCCAAAACTCTATGGTGAACTCCTTTATGAGACAACTTCAATTGCTTTTAATACCGTTACTAACAGCGATGCAAATTCTAGCTTTTTCAACAGTAATGAGATCTCTGCCTTCAAAACCAAGCCCCTGATTATAACTAGACCTGTTCACGCTGTGTCGGGCTGGGCTCAGGCCGGGCTTTCACTCATTATCAATACAATATATTCAGGCCCAATCCTGAGCCCAAGCACAATTCAACCATCGGGCCTTGATCTTGAGTCCGAAGCCCTACCTGTAAATTAGATATTTTTTGACACCTGTAGCTGTAAATTGTAATCCAAGTTTCAAATATTCTTTTTTTTTTTTTTTTGCACCTGTAGGCTGTAGCTTGAATTTCTCTATGAAGTTATGGTTTATTCAAAAGATATCCCTATTTAAATAGTAAAACAGAGAAAATAAAAAGCTAAACAAATATATTTTGTTAAACATATCCTAAGTTCTAACATTCTTTCCAATTCCAAATAAAGGTAGACCTGAAAACACACATTGACACAAAAGAATAACATGACACACTAACACAAAGCCATGTTCCAAAAGATGTTCTAGTTAATTAAAGAACACCTTCACCATCCGAAACCCACGGATGCTTATGTCAAATTCACCACCCGAATAAAACCCTTCCCCTTATAAGTAAAATAAATAAACACAAATTGGAGTTCTAACTGCTATGCCTTCAACAAATAACAAAACCAATCACATTTTTTTTCTGTTTACATCATATGCCGACTCGGGGATAGGATATCCATAAGCCAACAGCTTGGACTCGACAGTTTGGGAAGATTACATTTACATTTTACAAATATGTTCAGTGCATGAGTGCAAGCAGTAGAGCATGAATTCGACATTTAACTGGGAAATTTTCTAGAAAAAAAATGAAATTTTTATTATTATTTAGGGAAGAAAACTTGCCACCCGATTTATTACCATTGATTTATAAGAAGAATGAAATTAAATCCGGGTTATCTTGAACTCCACACGCTGATTAGTAGCAAGTTAGGAACACCACCGCCATGTATATTGGGAACATCTCCAGACTTGCAGAGTTGCAGTCCAGAATCGAAACATTTCTAAAGGGAAACATCTCATTCATAGGGGTCGGCGAACTGGAGTGGAGGGGGGAGAGAGAGAGAGAGAGACCTGATGGAGATGTCAATGGTTGCTGCCTATAGAGAATGGGGACGTCGCCTACTCTGGGTACTCGGAGCTCGAAGGAGATGACACCGTCGCCTCGCCGGTCTCCGGCTCGCCGATTGTAGTGTAAATGATACCGCCGGCCGCCGCTAATGGAAGGGAAGACACCTTCCAAGTTTCAGTCCAGGTTCAAACAAAACAGGGGAAGCACTTCTCACTTCTGTGACCGTCGAATGAAAACAATGGGGTAGGGTTAGAAAACAAATGGGCAAAATATAAAAACCTCCCCTGCATTTTCTGAGAATCATAAACACCTCCCCTATGTTTTCACTTTAACAAAAACCCCTGTACCTTTTAAAAAACATGCAACTACCTACCTTCCTAGTTCCTACACAGAAATGCCGACCTCTCTACGGGGAAAACGAAAGGTTGTAAGATGGGCTGCTGTAAGTTGTAATGTGTTACAGTGTTCAAATGACCAAATGGGTACTCAATCCAAAGAGGAAGCTAGCTGTCATCAACCAAGCCAGCCTCCGGCAACACTTGCTTCGATCGGGAGGCGATGAACGAGAAGTCGGTGATAGTCCGAAAACGACACGACTGTACATGGGTCATCCTCATTAGTGGTTCCAGTTATATACTTCAATCTCTCACTATTGCTAAGGATGAATATGACTTCCACCACCCATGTAGAATTACGATACCTTGCCAGATACCAAAGTTTGAGAGCGTGTAGATGAGGATTGTCGGAGGTGTGAATTGCTGGAAATCAATGTGGAAACGTCAATTGGAAATAGCTTTGTGATTGATTAGAGCGTAGTTGATGATGATGATGATAAATTGATAATCATGGTTTATATGGATATAACAAAGGATTTAATTTTCAAATAGAAAAAAAAAAAACACCTTTTTTTTGCTTTCAGGTTTTTCTTTTTTTCCTCTTTATTATATCTTTCTTCTTCGTTGTGAATACTAGTCTAAATTTGAAAAAAAAAATGGAATAAAAAGTGATAGGAGATAGAAGAATAAAGATAGGAGGATGGAGAAAAAGAAAGTGAGAGGATGATAAAAAAAAACAGAAAGTGAGAGGGGGAAAGGAAGGATGGATGACCCTATTCGGTTTCCTTCGTCACACCTCTGGTTCTCAGTGATTGGACGAAGAAGACGACCGGTGTTTTTTTGGGTATTTTTTGTAATTTTATATTTGAATTTATAGATATAAGGGTAAGAAAGGTATTTTTCAAAAATTAAATGTATTATATCATCACTTTTATTGAATTTTCATTAGTACCTTTTGTCTAAGAATACAGAAGTTTATTCTCACTTTAGAATCTGTATATGTATAAATATTTAAAATATCTCCATTATAACCATTTAGAAACTATGAATTATGAATAGTTTTGTCTTAAAGATATTAAGCCTGAACTAAGCTCAAAGCGCAGTTTAGACATGGCCAAATCGATCTTTTCATGAATCGAACTCAAATAACCCATGAAAAGTTCAGCTCTTGGCCACCCCTACTCAAAAAATACAATGTTAAGAAATTAATTCAACAATACTTGTTGGTATTCGCTAGACATTCTAAAGTATTTCATTGGTTATTGGTACAGTTCTCTATTCTTAGTCACTCTCACAAAGGATTTTGGGTATTATTAAGATATTTAGGTAAAAGTACTTGGCCCAGAGGGTTTCTAATGAACCTCCCTCCCTTTTAGATTAGCATGAATGGTGGCAAAATCTATTAGAATCCATTCTATACCAATATTAGAGGTTTTTAGTGATTGGAATAAGTTTGGGATCTAGCCACCAATACAAAATAGAAAAATATTTTATTCACACAACTCATTCGAGAAAATGCACCAACAGCAAATTATCACTTGTGCAAATTAAAAACCAAGCACGAGCTCTACTTACCTACTTATGGGCTTTAATGGGCATTTTTTTCTCTTAATTGTACTATACAATAAACTTATTCATGGGCCGGGTTTCATGTTTGACTTTACGTTATATCAGGCTTTGGATCGGGCCCATTAAAAATTTGACAAAAACCAAATCCAAGCCCAATCCAAAAAACAAGTCTACTACACAAATGAGGGGAGGAGTAAACCCATCCCCCATACACATAACTCTCCAAACCCGTAGTGGCAGCATGATTCAATCTCATGTCTCTATTGGTACAAGCCAGCAACCGTACCACTAAGCCACCCATCAATTGGAAAATGGGCTTGATACCTTCCACAAGGAAATAAACGAAATAGATTTGATGGACCAACATCAACACCTAAAACCCATAACCAGTTTAGGCACTAAACTTGCCATGTGTTGTATTTTAGAACAATCCACATTTGCTACGACAGTGTCGTAGTCCAGTACTGAAACAACTAAATTAAAGCTTTTGACTTGTTGTCATGGCCCCACTTTGAGTTAGATGAAGTGACTTGTTGGTGGGGCCATTGAAACATATCTAAGGTCATAATTGTAGCAAAAGTGAACTCATTTTAAAATGTACTTAAAATTGAATGAATGAGATTCCAAGTCTTAACTAGGAAATGAAATGCAATGGACCAAATGGACTGATATCAGCACATAAAACCCATAAGTCCGGCCATATCCAATTTAGGCCTGAATCTTATCATCTGCCATACATTGGAATGTACTAGAAGTTGTACGAATGATATCATTCTACAAAGTAAAATGATCACAGAGAATATCATCGTCAGAAAATTTGAATATGTTATTTGCTACCCATGTGAGAACATCATCATGGGGAGACATACATGAAAAGGGTAATTTTTGGCATTATGTAGTGTTTAACTTATAGAATATTAATGGATGAACCCAAATGTCTATTTTTGAAAGTTTAGGGTACTCAAGTGTTGCAATTGAAAGTTTAAGGTACCTATTTGTCACTATCCCCAAAATACATGATACCTATATGGAATTTACCCTAATAATGTATATATAATATTGGTCATACATATGTTCAGAATATATGAATTATATTTTATATATAAAATATGTGTTTACTGTGTTAGTTTAATCTTTTTATATTCATCGCATATATTAAATAATAATGGAATAACTCAACTCAATCAGGCTTCAAAAGCTAGCTCCCAAGTATATATCAAACAAACTCTTCAAATGCACCTAAAAAGTTAAGAACAAAATGGAACACACATTTGCAATGATTAAAATGATCAAGAGGCAATACTCTTGCCAAATTTGCAATTATTAGAATAAATGTCTAACAAGACGAAGTATCAACATAAATACAATGTTGAGAAGTTTTTTTTTCTTGGAGGCAAAAGCTAAAAATTCATTCAAATGACTGAAGTGTCAATAGAGCGAACATCTTTAAAAAGAGTATTAGAGACTCAATCTAGAATGTTGGAGTTACAAACCAAATAACAGGATAAGAGAACAAAGAGTTAAGCTAAGCAATGGGCAAATTTGTTCCTATCTCTCCTAGTATGTGTGAAAGATACTTCATTATAAGTAAGAGAGGAGATCTCTCTCAATGGAAGAGTTACTCTGCTTAACTCTACAACTAATATGATTCCATAGTTGATAATGAGATCCTTCAAGATTCCAAATAATGTTATTGAGGAAATTGATAAATGTCAAAAAAAAAAAGTTTGTGTGGACCAATTCAAGTGATAAGAAGCCAATTCACCTTATGAATTGGAACCAAGTGTGCTTAAACAAAAATAGGGGTGGTCTTGGTCTTAAAAATCTCCATTGGGTTAATGAAACCTGTTTAGCGAAATTAGGATGGAAAATTATCAATGAGGAAGGAAATTTGTGAGTCAGAATTGTCAAAAATAAATATATCAAAAAGGAGGATTTCTAGAATGCCAAAATAAATAAAAAACAATCTCTTGGGCTTGGAGGGGGATTTTATGGTTGTGAAATTGGTAATAGTTATTCAATTAACTTTTGGAATGACAAATGGGTGGGTGACACTCCTTTAGCGGAGTTGGTTCCCAAAGACACTATTGGTAATAAAGAGCCATTGGTTGGTGAGGATAAAAGCAGTTTTTTTTTTCCAACTAGCCTTAAGAGCGACGGAATGATCTGGAGACTAAACCCTAATGGTCTTTTTACCACTAAGTCAGCGTACAACATTAAGAGCAATGCTGAGTTGGTGATTAGAGATGATTTTATGTGGGTTTCTAAAGTCTAGAATTTGAACTGTCCTCCCAAGTTAAAAGTGTTTTTATTCTTGCTTCTCAACAATAGACTCCCATCCAAATCCCTTCTCAAAAGAAGGGGATTTAATATTGATTGGTGATTGTAATGTTTGTGGGGAGGAAGAGGATTTAAGTCATATATTTAGGGAATGTTCAATTGCAAAACAAACGTGGATGATGGTTAATCTAAATAACAGTGGTTTAGGGGCCCAAAACACTTCCTTACGTGAGTGGTGGTCCATTATGTGTGAGGATTCACTTAAAGAGGATGATAAGCCAGCGGAAAAATGCATGTTCATATTGTGGTATCTATCAAAATGTGTTCTAGTTCCCCCCACGTCATCATTGAGAGGGCCCTTAACTCTTTTATGGAATATCACGAGGTCATTATCAAGACTAAAGAGTCAAGCTATACTAAAATTTGGAAGCACATTAGTTGGAAACTTCTTGAGGTTGGAACGATAAAGATTAACTTTGACACCTCATGCACTGATGGTGGCGCTTGCTCAGTTGCTAGTATTACGAGAAATCACTTGCGGGAAGTTGTTGATGTTAAAGCTTTTAATATTGGAATTACTACTATTAATGTAGCAGAGGCTTGGGCTGCCTAGAAGCCCACAATTTAGCCTAGAATTTCAAAGACTATCCTGTCATCATCGAAGGAGACTCTAAGCTCAAGATTGAGGACAACCCCATCGTATCGTGGAATCTCAGAAGCATCATTCAAGACTGCATGCAGATTAAAGAGTTGTTTGTGAATAGTTTAGCCTACAAGCATGTCTATTGCGAAGCAAATCAAGCTGCCGATTGGCTGACCCAGGAAGCCCTATCGACCATCAATAGTGTAGTTTCTTTAGATCCTTGGAAGCTGCCCTTCCATTTAGCTCTCATTTGTTCTAATGATCCTTGGAAGCTACCCCCATCTTGTATAGCCCCTTGTGGTCTTTATCAAAAAAAAATGCCTTGGTTCCTAACAACATTTGAAGAGATAGGGATCTTTTGGATCTAGCAAATTGTGATTAGGTCAAAGTTTAATTCAGAACATCCAAATGCCATTGTAGTCATTAAGAGAGAACCTATAGTTCTTGTTGATTAGGGTGATTCGCTGTATCCAAGGGTCAAACCAACAATTGATAGAGTAACCATTGCCCACTATGTAGAAGCAACCCAGTTGTAAAAGCTCTTTATAGGACAAGATAGATTCCCAAACAATAGAATCCCTGTCTTGAATATGAAGATACCAAAAATTTACACCATGAACATATTTACCATACAAAACTCTGGCCCAAAGTTGATTTGGTTCGTGAAGCATTCTCCAACCCAGTTTAGATACCAAAGTTTTGTTCATAATGCCATAGACTTGATACCTAGATCACCAAGGGATTTTGGCTTAAGAAATTCCTTCCAATCCTTAATA